GGGGGGGGGGCAAACAAACAAACAAACAAACAAACAAACAAACAAACAAACAAACAAACAAACAAACAAACAAACAAACAAACAAACAAACAAACAAACAAACAAACAAACAAACAAACAAACAAACAAACAAACAAACAAACAAACAAACCGGCCGAATAGTCATCCAGAGGCGTAAGGAGATTTATTTATTTATTTATTTATTTAGCTTCGCTTTATAAAACGTAAACAATACAAGTACAACATTTCATAAACATGAGACAGAACAAATGGCGGGGCCACCGCAACAGTTTACACCAATTACTGCGAGCCCTTTAGCTAAAATTAGTGACAAATTACAGACAAAAAAATATTTAAAGGGGCAGTATGATCAAAATTGTTATTCTCTTAAACCAAAGCTTAAAAGAAAATGCTCGTAAAACTGTATAACAACTTGTTTTGAAGATTTTTGTTCTCATGTTTAGTTGAGATATTTATTTTGTTTGTAACCATGTGACGTCATTTACTCAATTACATATATAATGAGATATCAGTAATTGTTGTGTATCTTCGCTATTTTTGATCCATTTGTTAAAAAACACAGTATGCTTAATGATGCAGGTTAAATTCACAAACGCGCCGCATCTTTCGGAATATTTTGATAAAAATAGCAAAGATACACAACAATTACTGATATCTCATTATATATGTAATTGAGTAGATGACGTCACATGGTTACAATAAAATTAAATATCTCGAGAACTAGGCATGGGAACCAAAGTCTTCAAAACAAGTTATTATACAGTTTTACGAGCACTTTTGTTTAAGAACATAAAAAATTTTATCATACTGCCCCTTTAAAAAAAACCTAATTAATGAAACTATTTAAATTGATAATTTGATAAACACCACACACGAGTCTGTTTTAAACGTACACAACTTTCTGGCCTCACAATTTTAACAAATAAATAATAAGACCATTGCATAACAACAAATGTAACTATGGAAAAAGCTAGCGGGTCCAAATGATAGATGTAGCATACATTGCGTTTTAATTTCACAAACCAAATTGATACGCAATAAGCTACTTTCCTTAGTCTGGTAGTAGCAGACTCATCTGGCGTGAGACAGATGAAAAATTATAATCTGTCGCCGATAACAAAATGCCTCTTGATTGTGATTAGACATACAGGCACAAACAGCATGATTAAAGCACAAGGTTTTAAATCGTCAGCTGTTACGTAACATTATACTTGTCACGGAGGGATTCTTTCCTGTCGATGCTCAAACATTAGAGAGTTTAAGATCTACGATGCGGCCGGCTCAACGACGTGCTTGCGAAAGAAAGAAATCTGTCGTGCGAGACAAAATCTGTGAATAATTTGTGGTCCCAGGGGTATTCTCAACGGCTTTGCCATGCTCAGCAGAACGTTAAAGCCCGCCGCACACGAGAGCTTGGATTTGACCTCTCGAGGCCTTGAGGAAAATATCTATCGTGTTTGATATTTTTCGCCTCGCGAGAAGAAAATCTCAGCGTCTGCGGATGTTGTGAGCTAAGTGCTGAGCTGTTTGAATCAATTAGCCAATGACAAACCATGGTTTCTTCATGTGACTTGGAACAAAATGGAGGAATATGCAAATGATTTTGTCAATTGTGTTGTTGTTGAGTAGTTTTCCCAACGTGTCATGTGCGGTGAAAATACATAGCTGTAGTACACAGTTTGGAGATCCCAATTTATGTTGGCAAGTCTGGAAATCACTATTATTAGGTGCACTTAATAGACATGCCCCTCTGCGCCACAAGCGAATAAGGAATAACCCTGTCCCATGGATTAATCCTCAAATTAAAGAACTTATGAGAAAAAGGGACTATCACAAAAAAAGGCCATAAAATATGATTCGGAGTCACAGTGGGAATTGTATAAAACACTACGTAATGAAGTAAATATAAACATGCGGAAAGCAAAATCTAAGTACTTTGTGATAAAATCCAGGCAAGCTCTCAAATGGGAGACAGTAAAAGGGATGGGCTTGGATAAATTCGCTCTTGGAAGAAAGCATAAGAATGCAAATATTAATGAACTGAAAGTAAATGATGATATTATTTCTGATGATAAATCTATTACTGAAACATTAAATGAATATTTTATAAATATTGGAATGAAGATGGCTGCTGAATCAGCATGTCAAAGCACTGATGCTTTAAATGATCAAGTAATTTATGAAAGTACTGTGCTTCTTCCTAAAGAAAATTTTCACTTCGCAGTTATTACTATAGATAGTGTTTCCAAACGCCTACAAAAACTAAATGTCTCAAAAGCGACAGGTATGGATGGAATACCTGCGAATATTTTAAAACTGACATCAACCCTTATTGCTCCATCTATAACTTTTATATTTAACCTATCGATTAGAACTGGTATTTATATAGATGAGTGGAAATTGGCTAGAGTTATACCATTTACAAATCTGAGGATAAGCGGAAGCTTAAAACCCAGTTTGGAATTCACGACATTAAATTAAAATGGTTCCAATCATACTTAAGGAATAGAAAGCAAGTGTGTTCTGTTAATGATCAAACTTCTTCTGCAAGAACAATAATATGCGGAATTCCGCAAGGATCCATACTTGGTCCATTATTGTTTTTGCTATACAGGGTGTACCAAAAAAAACTGAACAGATTTGAAATTGCTCTCAATTTCGCAAAACACCTATTTGTATCTGGTTTTTTATATACATAGCTTCTTTGGGTACTTATAATGTAAAATAATGAAAAAAAATTCTCGAACTCAAATTTAGTGAACCAGGGGGGTGTGTCTTTCCCAACAAACTAAAAATGGCTCGCGCACAAAATTTAAAAGCTGTAATAATATTTTGAGTTGATAGATTGAAAATTTGTCGGGTTTTGAATTACTGTACAAAATTTCAGACAATTTGGTTTAGTTTAAGCCCTTTAACTATTCATTTTGTTCTAAAAAGTCAGCCTTTCGCATGCTTAATTAATGCCTTTACCTAATTTGCATATTGCTGACATATGCAAATTAGGCAAATGCATTAATTAAGCATGCAAATAGCTGATTTTTCGGGAAAATTGTAACTTTGCGTGAATAGTTAAGGGGCTTAAACTAAACCAAATTGTCTGAAATTTTGTACAGTAATTAAAATCCCGACAAATTTTCTATGTGTTAACTCAAAATATGATTGCAGCTTTTAAATTTTGTGCGCGAGCCATTTTTAGTTTGTTGGAAAAGACACACCCCCCTGGTTCACAAAATTTGAGTTCGAGAAATGTTTTTCATTATTTTACATTATAAGTACCCAAAGAAGCTATATATATAAAAAACCAGATACAAATAGCTGTTTTGCAAAGTTGAGGGCAATTTTAAATCTGTTCAGTTTTTTTTGATACACCCTGTATATTAATGATATGCCTGATATTCTAGAAAGGACAACCCCATGTCTTTATGCCGACGACACTCAGATATCTTCCTCTTCGCATGATTACGATACATTGATTGACAATTTGAATATGGACCTTTCCAGTATTCATAAATGGCTTGCTAAAAACAAACTAAAATATCATAGGAAAAAAAACAAAAGTCATGTTTATTGGATCTACGCATAATCTAAATCATAAAATAGGAAATAGAGCCGTTGAGATTAACAAAATCCCAGTCCCACAAACCAATACATTTAAATGTCTAGGTGTAAATCTAGATGAAAAATTAAGTTGGGAGAAACATATTGATTCTGTATGCCATAAGATTAGCGCTGGAATAGGAGCAATTAAAAGAATAAAACCTTATGTTCCACACAAAACCTTACATGATGTCTACAAAACATTAATTCAGCCTCATTTTGATTACTGTTCTCCCCTGTGGGATAACTGTGGTTTGGGACTTCAAGATAAATTGAAAAAATTCCAAAATCGAGCGGCAAGGGTGATTACCGGAGCTGACTACGATGTAAGATCGTCTGAAGTCCTAAACAAATTAGGCTGGGAAACCCTGGCTAGGAGACGAGAACAAAACAAGCTAGTATTGATGTATAAAGTCTTGGGGAACCACACTGCGCCAAACCTTAAAGATCTTTTTTCTCGGAGAAATGCATCGCAGAATATTTATGATTTACGCAATAGCGAAACTGATCTCTCGTTAAAAAAACCGAAAACGGAATTTCTAAAGAAAACATTTGGATACAGTGGAGCAATTCTATGGAATAGTCTGCCGCAAGATGTCAAGGCGGCTGAGTCAATTACGTCATTTAAAACAATGGCGAAATTGCATTTAAGCAGATGATAAGCTAATTTCTCCAGGACCAAATGATGGGAGGACAATATAGATTGTGGGCGGGAGGGGGGTTAGTTTTGCGTGAGGGTGGGTGGGTACTTGTTTAGGGTGTGGAGGTTTGGGAGGAAGATGATAAAATTTTAGGGTGGGATTCTTACATATTTTGGGGGGGGGGGGGGGGGGGGGGTGTAACCCCCCCTGATAATTGCTCATGAGCAATTTCAGGTAGATTTTCAAGTAAATTCAGGTAGATTTCCAGTAGACTTCCAGGCTGAAGTTCCAGGTAAATTCAGTTAATTCAGTAAGGGCACGAGAAAAGGAATTTTGAAAAATATCTCTAGAAAAATTTTGCAGTATTTTCGTTAAAATGAAGATATGTCCGGAAAAATTTTTGTACATGCGGATGATACGTCCGAAAAAAAATTGTGTATTTTCTGAAACATTATGATATGTCCGGGAAAATTTTTTGTATGTCCAGATAAATTTCTGGGTGATCTCCCATCCCCCCGGCCAACATTGTTTGGGACTAAAAGCGACTAAAATAAGATAAAACCGTTAATTTTAACAATTTCAGGTAAATTTGAGGCGAAGTCTTCGCAACGGCCTTGCTAATGACCATTTATGAAATGCCATGCAAATCTATTGCGGGTAGGTTGTTAGCCAATTTTTCACCTATCCTGGAGAAATGTTGATTAAATATTTCTGCTTTACCTTGATCTGACGTAACAATCTAGCTTTCCATCTTCTCCTTTGATACCGAGTATAGGTTTCATTGACACGTTGTTGGTGGCATTTTTCAACAATCTCCAGTATGTTTTACACCTCTTAACACCTCTTAACAACGTGCCAATTTAGAGTTAGGTTTTAGGGTTAGGATTACGATTGAGGGTTAGGATTTAGAGTTTTCAGCCCCCCCCAACAAAATGTCCACCCCTCCAAAAATATTCCAACACCCCCATTTTTCGAAATAATAAATAAATAGTCCACTCCAACGTGCAGAGTGCTGATGATAAAAAAATAAACGTAGGAGTACACTCAAACAGAAAAGGACATTGCAACACTCTGAAACTAATCGCTCCTCGCTTCCATATTGCTCCAATAAACCAGTGTGAATAAAGCTTTAAAACTCTATTACATCAGCTTAGATCATCCTTCGCATAGCCCTTTGCTTTTAAAGTTGATAATAAGTATTGCTTTACTAAGGTTAACACATAATATAAGTTATATATTATATAACTTATATCAGTCAACTCCCGTAATTAACGGGAGAATTTACGGCTGTACACAGGCTAGGAACCACCTAGCACTTGAAATTGCAATTATGTGACGAAATAAGACGAAAATGTTACGAGAGGACATTATTCCTGAGCGGCATATGTTCATGTCAAGAGAATACGGCATCGCTGTAACTGAAATTGTAAACCATTTACCTTGACTCAATCAAATGCAATATATTACATGCAGTCATTACATGATATAATAGCAGTGATGAGATGTTTTATAATCTTGAAGTGTCTGTGCCAGTGTAGGTAGTGCCAATGATATTAACAAGCTTTCCTTGGTAGCGAAAAATTCTCCTTATATTTCAGTTTCAGGTGGTTGCATCCCTACCAACGAAAGTTTAATAAGATGTTTTACAATTTTAGCAAAACTGTCCTGTCCTAGTTATCAGCGAGGTTCCTGCAGATAGACTTCCACTACGTTCCTGCGTAATATACATTTGATTGGTTCATTGGGTATACAGATTCAATGCATCTGATAGGTTCATGGCAACGGTAGTGGACGTCAAAATCTGAACCTCATTTGGTCAAAAACAACATGTTCTCCACCGAGAAGCGGTCCCGTTCTTAAAGACCACGAAAATGGAAACTGATTATTCTGCTTAGACTCTGCTTGAACGCTAGCAATAACTTGCTGCATTCAAACGTACAGTATATTAAATAGATATCTTTTGTTAAGTTGAAGATTATTTAAAAACATTTCACTATAATTGCCACACTAAACTTTTCGAGTTTAAAAAATCTGTTTATTCAATGCGAATTGTTTATTTATCGTCTTAGTTGATTATCGTTTTAGGAGAGCTGGCTAGCTGGACCTCGCAGGGTTTTATAACATGTACACGCGTGTAAGTTTCCCCTGCCCTCCTTCGACAGGCAGACGGTCAGAAAATCTGGAGCCTTCATCACTTGAATCATAGTTTGAATTGAGCTTCATGTCTGTGTGGTGCATGGGCACTGACATTTACAGCTATAGTTGCTATAGTAGACTATGTGCACACGGTAACGTTTTCGAGCGTTTTCATTTGTGTTTTCCCGCTAAAACGGATGCAAATACTATTAATTTACGACCGAAGCTGTAGTTTATTTAATATATTGGAGATATTTTCCTTTGGACCGTGTGAACAGGGCGTCAAAACGACTAAAGGGACAAAAACGTTTTTGAAAACGCTGGAAAACGACGCCCGTGTGCACACAGCCGTAGAGTCTATACGTCTGCTGTCTCTCGATATATTACTGTACAATATTTCTCAACATTCTGTACATATATACACTCTTCCAGTATAGGGTATAAATATTTTGTTTGCCTTTATCCTTTGAAATTCATTAATTTGATTAAGGTTAGCAATATTCATCTTCAAATCTTTTCCAATACATTTGTAGTACATTTGACTTTTTCGGTTTGCATAAAATCTTCCTAAAATTCAAAATATACCTTTATGAATGATATGGCACACATTAAAATATAACTGCAGTAATGTTATAGTCTTGTGAGCTTGAATAGTACCTCATTATCGTACTATAATAGTATAGTACTAACGATGCAGAACATGGAGTATGCAGACCTTAGGATGTGATCAGACGTCAGGTTTAAACTATTGCAAGCGATCACATAATTTTAATATTGGTACAAAATAATTCTAAACAATTTATTTACAATTTGTCTTTTTCATGGCTACACTTTGTACAATACATATCAAATCATTAACTTTGCCATTCTTGAAACCAAAGAGAAACAAAGGGTATGTTGTAACCACATGCTGAAACTGTCCAGTGGAATAGACAGGAATGAACTAGGGTCATGATAATACATGAACGGTCAAGCCAATGAATTGACAATAAATGTATTGCAGATGATTATCAAATGCATCTGTTGTTTGAAAGAATATAAATGCTGGGATAAGCAGGAAACTTATGAATAGACCTAAACTGTTTATCCATATGATGTTCAACACTGTAGTTTGGGGTTAACCCAAATACACAAGATGAAGCAACCATTAAGACCTACCAAATCATAGATTACTTTGACAATTAAAGAACAACTGGGGCAGACAGCAACATCTTCACCGTTTTCAAGTTGTTCCTAGAAGATTGGAAATAAAAACAAGTATAAGATTACAGCAGGTTTACCACACTGATAGCAATAGCTGTTTTTGACATTTGGGCGCAGTTACTAATTCAATATCAGAAACGTCAAGAACTAAACAAAGCCTAACTCAAATCATATTGAAGTTGCCACACATTATCTCATGTACCAACAAATCCATCTGATAACATGGATCGTGGCACTTTTGGTTCTGCAGTGTATTTTGAAAATATTATTTTGGCATAAAGCACTTTATTTTTGTATATTTCCAGAGAAAGAACATATTTACCATGAGTGTTTTTTTAATCAAATTGCATGCACATGGGTGAATTACAGGATAATATTGCCAGTTTAATATCAAATTGATGTTTTGCGTGGCAACTTCAATACGAATGTGGCGTATTGATAATTAATTATATGCAGTGGTTATTTGTTCAACACCGGATCCCAACATTCAGTTGATTTCAAGCAATTCCTCTGTAGTTAAGTGGTTTACTACAGTAGGCATTCGCCTTGGACACGTTATTGATCAGTGAAATTTCAAGCATAAAATAAAAGTTCTTCCAAGTTCTTCAGGCAGTTGAAACCCTACCAACGAAAGTGTCTTTTATTATTTGCACTACCTACCTACACTGCACAAACAGTTGAATCAATAAGGTCAGGTTAAGGTCTGGGTTAGGCTGCAGGACAGGTTCAGGAAAACTTTAGGCCACTCCAAATTAGACTTTAGTTTCCCGTCTGGCCTTTATTTCCATTATCCATTATGGTGTCTGAAAGAATCTGACACGACCCACTATTCCAGACAAACGTTTTAAATATCCATTGGGCCACGTTTTTAAAAGAATGTTTTGGATTTTTTGCTTGCAGAAATGAAAGCCAGGAATCAGGATATTAACCTTATCCAGGGACGCCGGAACTGGGGGGGGGGGGCAGCCACCCCCGTTGCCCTTTACCAGGAGGGGCAAGGGGGGCAAAGGTGTCCTTTCAATTTAAAGGATTACCTTGGCGAAATAGCGAATTGTCAGAAATGTTAGTGCAAATCTTTTACAAATTTGCTTCAGAAAACGTAAGAAATGCAGTCATCGAGCTTCAAGCAGGCCCGGAGCTACGGGGTGTGACACCCCCCAGTAATTGTATTCAGTCGGCAGGACTGCTATTCAGTCGGTAGAACTGCTATTTGGGTTAAATATTTTTTGCGCAAAGGGCAAGAACGTGGTGGGAATTTTAGGAAAATTTTGAGGAAAAATGTAAAAATTTTGGAAAAATGTAAAAAAATGTTGAAAATTTGTTATGTGCGGAAAATTTTTGTACGTCCGGAAAAATTTTTGGACCCCTAAAATGGTGCACTGACCGAAATTTTTTTTGGGGGGGGGGACAAAAAATTTTTGATCCGGAAAATTTTTTTTTGAACCAGTCGGTTGAATTGACCTTATTACACCCCCCTCTGAAGAATTTCCTGAGGAGAATAGCACAATCGCCTGGCAGAGAACCCCCTCACACCCCTACCATCCAATAAATAGAAAATATGATGAGGCAAAGTTCAACTCCTGATGTTTTGCAAACATCTCCTAGTATATATCAATTCAAAAGTGCCCTTTCACGAAAATCTGCCCCCCTTGCCTTCACATCGTTCCGGCATCCCTGACCTTATCCTTTTATTATCCTTTTGTTCGAAAATCAAAACGTTATAACAGAAGTGTCTAGCTTAGCGGTTACTGCAGTAAAAACAAACAAAAATTCACTCTCTTTTCAACAATTTTATTTCAATTTTTACATATTATATTATAAATATGGGTTTGTAATCCAAGTGAGTAAAAATACATTTTAAGACCTAACCAGGAACGAACCTGGTTAGGAAATGAACTTACGGCTCTGCGATTCCGGTGCAGCGCTCTACCAGAGGACCTTGTGCTGCATTTTTCGCAGTCGTTCCTGGTTAGGTCTTAAAATGTATATATACTCACTTGGATTACAAACCCTAAAAAAACCCAACAGCATTCTAATATTATCAAGTGAAGTGCAGAAACCAGATCATTGAAGTCCACCTATCATAAATATGTATTTCTTGAACAATAGATTGTTTGAAAACTGTGGATTTTCGTTATTCTTAGTCTTCTTAGTCATAAAGGTCAAATAATGGAAACAAGTTGGCAATAATGGACACATCTGTTTTTCTCTACTCTGTGGTAAAGGGTTAGCACTTTTTTCCATCCAGCAAACCGCCCTATCGATTTTCTAAAGTCGTTTCTTTTTGGATTTTTTTATTATTCGGTTAGGGTTAAAGTTAGGGTTGAGGTTAGAGTCAGGGGTTAGAGTAGGGGTAGGGTTTGGGTTGGTTACATAGCCATTTAACACCTCTTCTATCTTCCGAAAATGACGTCAGGTCAGTTTGCTGGATGGAAAATAGTGCTAACCGTGGTAAAGCTAGGTTTACACAAAATGATTAATCAGGCCAATTTATAAATTAAGGTAATGTTGTCAGTAGACAATGTCGTCAGATGACGTCGACAGCGTATTTTTCAAATATCACTTAAATTAAAGCTGAATAGGTCCGATTAAAGATGTGGTACAGTCCGTATGTAAGCAAAGGCTTTGTTTACATTTCGGTATCTAAAATATTGAATTTTATTCGACAACTATTTAAATTTTATATTTTCATGATTCTAGAGTATAATAAATTATTAAGACACAACAATCAAGCTTTGCAAGAACATAAAATGAAATAAAAACCTACATAAACTGTTTGTAAATAAAAAGAGGGCTCCTTTGTGCACATGCGCAGATCGGACTGTACCACATCTTTAATTGTTGGCGTGTAAACATACCTTAAGACAACCAAATAACCAACTAGTATTTTATATAGCTATCAAGGGCGGATTTTCATTTATTTAATAGGAGGGGTAGAGAATTTTCTAGTGGGGTCACTGGGGTGCCTAACTGGAAAGCTTGGAAATTGCACGGCCGAGATTTCGAAAATTTAATAGTAAATATATAGAAAGCATCAAAATTGCGCGCCCGAGATATCGGGCGCGCAGTACAAACTTTCCACACTGGCTGGGGTGCAACTGCAAGTGGCACCAGCCGCACCACTCAGTGAGCTTCGGCAGGGGTTAGGCGTTTGGGTTAAAGCATTTCACACAAAAATAGGAGGGGTGAAGCGAAATTTTGGTGGGTTGAACAGTTTATTAGAGGGGTTAGGGAGATTCTAGGGGGTTTAACCCCCCCCCCCAACCCAGTAAATCCGCCCATGATATTAAACTATAAACTATTGAAGTATATGGTGATGATATTCAAGCTATAGCGGAAGATAACGACATATACTTTCTACAATATATTAAGCAGACAAACCTTAGTAATTTCAAACTGATCTCCACAAGGACAAGGGTAGGTATAGGTTTCAGTGTCGTCATCATATTCGAAATCTTCTATCTCAATTTCATCATGAAACACCGCCATTACATTATTCGAGCCCGTCAGTCAGCGACTCAGCGGTGCAATCGAAGTACTTCATGTAAAATGTTTTGTGGTAACCCAAAAATTGGTTTAACTAATTTTGGCGGCATTTTGTATCACAGCGCTCGTGCAAGGAAGCAAAGAACTATAAAAAATTTCAGTGGCGTAACGTTATATCAGGGGGCCCCGGTTCAAAATTTTCGAAGACCCCCTAGTAGAAATTATGCCAAAGGCACGAGTCGAGCGCACGAGTTTTATATTTAAAGGGGTCCAGGGCATGCTCACCCGGAAAATTTTTTAATCTAAAGTCTCTGAAATGCCATTTCCCGGACTTTAGGGAGATTTTACAGAATTCTGATGGTCAGAAAACGACATTGTAACATATCAGAGGCCTCCATGGCCAATGTTTTTGCTCAACAGCCTGAGGCCCTCATTTGGCCCATTGGGGTTGGGGCCCCCGGGTTTGCCTGGTCCGAACCCATAGTAGTTACGCCAGTTTTGTCATATGTGTTGAAGATTACCACAAACTGGCACAAACACAGTTTTTAATCCAGTCCCCCCTCGGTATCTGACGTCCAAAAACGTCGCTTGCTTAGCTCCCTATTATTATTAGATGAGTAAGTTACATTGAGAAAGACTAGCATGCCCTCCCCCCGCATGTGAAACTTCTTGTGTAAAAAACATACTGGATCTTTACGTTGCAAATATCAGATCCTGCAAAACTCCGTGATTCGGATAATAAATTTTAATAGTATAAATACAAATATTTAGGGCCTGTCCTGATGAAGTGGGTTTTTTTTTACCAAAACGAACCAATTTATATCTGAGGATTTTGCAACCTCGTTCCCAGGCCTGGGAACGAGGTTGAGGATTTTGCAGATCCCCGAGGTAAAAGCTGAAATAGAATCGAACACAATGTGATGAAATGAACATCTTGACAAATGACAAGACAAGGCTGAAATTGTCCATAAATGGGAGCAATCGTGCTATAGAGTGAGCTACTTCGGAAGGTCTAAATCGAGGTCTAAAGGTTGCAAATTGTTACAGGAATACAGGTTACTGCTGGTTGGTATTTTCACGTTTACACCTTAGTCCACGTTCAACCCTAACCTGCGGTCCCCAACCTAACTAAAACTAAGTTATTATGCATTATTTCAACCCTCCGGTCCTACGCTAGCCTGCGTAGCAGGCGTTTAGTGCGGGCGGGAGAAGAGATGGCGTCGTTTAAGCCCTTTCTTCTCCCGCCTGCACTAAACGCCTGCTACGCAGGCTAGTCCTACGCAGACAATAGAAAGGTTCATATTTGACTCCCCCTACCGGCAACCATTAAGGAACCATTAACCAATCAGAAGCGTTTGGAATGTCCGATTAACCAATACACGAATCGCGAAATTCGGGCAAAAATCACAGTTAAAAAAAAAACATGTAGCTGTGACTGGATGATTTAAAATATGCGTATTTAAGTGGCAGTCCCGCTAAGAGCGGTCCGATGACTTTGACTTCGGAAAATAGATTTCCTTTATTTTTTGTGTGTTGAAAGGCATTCATATACAAGTGTCCAAAATAAATTTATTTTTTGAAAATTCTTTTTTATGGCTTCGCTAGACGCCGAAACTCATTTTACCCGTGCAGAGCTAATTTCAAGCAAAATCGAAGGTTGAATTTCGGTAAATTGTAGAGCCGCGCTGTGTCAAAACGCCTGACTATTTCCAAATTTCAACTAGATCAACAAGTTAAGATACAATTCAGGTTCCCTGTTCCAAAAAATAAGAGCATTTGAATAAATTGTGAATAAACGGCAGCGACTTGACGGCAAACCGGTTTTTGCTTCTTGTTCGGTCCACAAAATTACACGAAAATCGAAGCCTGAGATCTCCAAATGGGACCTAAAATTACGCTGAAATGTGCTTGGCTGTAATGATTTATACTTATTTTCAGAAGATCTGAAGAAAAACCTGCGGGTATCAATCTATATTTGGCGCAATTTAAGATTTTCTGGAGCCCATAATCAATGATTTTTGCATAATTTATAGCTAACAAGACGCTCTACGAAGCGTTAACTCGCTGGGGCTATACAACTACGCACATTACTGTACAATGTACATGATACATACAGTACACAGCTCTTTCCCGAGCTAAGCGGAAAAGTCGAACACGAGCGCGAAAGGCTTAATAACACAGTACTAAAATGCGGTAGGCCCTACAAGTAAAGTTATATTTAGTACGCTACATTCTTCAAAACTGTCAAAATGAAGCGAGAAGTGAGACGAATCCACTGGTATACGGCCGAAAAAGAGAAAACCAATGATACCAAAGTTATCAAGGGTCAAACGTACTGCATTTTTTTATAATTAGTTTAAAGGGGAAGTCAAGTCCGTTCTGCGCATCGGTTCTGCGCATAACAATAGAGGGCCCTCTGAGGTAAACATTGGTAAACATTGCCCAAATTTTGAATGTTTCGAATTTTTCTGAACACAAACTCTATTTCATATTCATGTAGAAGCATAACGAACCAAAATGGTGTTAGATATTCAGACAGTACATCATATTTTAAAAAATACAGCAGTTCAAAATGTAAACAAAACGTTTGTTTACATTACGGACTTGACTTGCCCTTTAATAATTTTGAGCGATTGGTAACAATAAAAATTCGCTTGGCGTTCAAAGACAAAGGCCATAAATCGCTAGAACACTGTTGTTTTATAGTAACACATTTGACATTCGTAATTAGTACAATTTCTTACGCTGAATCGAACGGTGGTATTTTTGGCCTTATTGCGCCATTATGCATTACAAATACAAGGACAAACCTGTGGACAAACGTAGTGCGAGTGATTTGTGATCAACAAATACATACTGCGAGCGATTTTTCAACAATACAATTTCGCTTCATTTTCAAAGGCCATAAATCGCTAGAATACGCCAATACGGGTGTTTAGTAATACACTTGACATCCTAAGTACAATTTCTTACGCTGAATCGAACGGTGTCGCTTTCTTCTCAAAATATAAAGCAGCGCAGTCAAACGTATAAACTTTTATAAACTTGCGAATTGCGAAGGTTGCTGTTTCCATGCGAAATTCCTTGTAAAATTGTTCAATTTTCCCGAATTTTCCTCAAAATGGAGGGCTATGTATGGATAATTTGGGTAAAATTGGCAGGAGCCTTATGGATAATTGGGGGGAAATTAGGCAGCTCATTAATATTCTATTTTGTGGCTATCGAAGAAAATTGGAGATCCACTATTGCTGATCCACTATTGCTGATCCACTATTGCTGATCCACTATTGCTGATCCACTATCGCTGATCCACTATTGCTGATCCACTATTGCTGATCCACTAAAAATGCGTGCCGAAACCTATACTCGCCAGGGCACAGAGTGCCCCAGCGAGTAATTAACATATTTCTTGAGAGGCGCTAAAAGTAAACAATTTCTTTCTGACTAACATATCTCAGATGAAAGAAACTACCACAGCTAGTAATACCCTTTTTGTAAATATAGTCGTAATGTTCCTTTCCTGACACGCTGAGAGAGCTTTGTTTTTTAATGTTATGCCACATTTATTCAGTCTGACCAGATTCATAATGTCACGAACTTGTATATTTCAAAAATATCAGTACCAGAAATCAGAATTCAGAAAGACCGATTATTCTTTCCTTGATTCAGTTGATGGATATATTATATAATATATCCATCAATATAGAACATTCCATGTGTTTCCATTGCCCCTATTATATAGGGCTAGAATTTTTATCAATATGTTCTATTTTTCTGTGGCGACGGCAAAAATGTACGTTCGAATTTATGACCGACATATCCAGCCTCGTCCCTGGCGCTTTGATGTGCTTACTGGTTGCGTGACGCACGCGCGGGAATCGAGGTGCGTTGCTCCAGGGCGCTGTAAAACACGGGCGGTGAAACGGCTATGGCGCCCCTGATCTATGTGTGATGCAGGTCCCCCCGCATATTTTCATTTTTATTCGAATTCGACGTGGTTTGATCAGGCATGCATGTTTGTTTTGACTTCTTTTTAAAATTACTACGTAAAAAGGTACAATTCAAGCTGAATTCACAATGGATTTGGGATCTGTGCTATTACTATAGACAAAATCTTTTTTCCGGATTCTTAATCACGACTGATTATATGGGGAATGTTAGTGTAGTGTAAGATATATTAAAGTCTGGGATCTCACTCACGAGGATCGATTGTTTTTGCAAAACAACTTCGTTCGTTTATAAGATGAAAAAAAAGACGAAGACAAAGTTTTTTAAACGGCTGTTGTCGTAAACCCTGCAACTGGAATGTGTGTTTGGAAATCGGGTATGTTCAATCACATGTATTTTTGTCAAGTTCCACCAGATGAAGCGCCATAAATTGATAAAAACAGCAAGTTCTTTTTTCAAGCGATAGTTTGTTGTCGCAGTTTTACAAGCGCGGAAAATTTTTAACTTTTAAATATTTCATGCACAATATATGAAACCTATTTTTATTTTGATGTTTTTGTATAATTTAAGTACGTAATTTTCTGAAAATCACCAAATGAAAATGGGCTTTTTTAATTTTTAAACATTTTTTTGGCCTTGTTTTTGACATGTGCATGCCAAATCTACACATGAAATACAAGCAAGCGATAGTTTGTTGTCGCAGTTTTACAAGCGCGGAAAATTTTTAACTTTTAAATATTTCATGCACAATATATGAAACCTATTTTTATGTTTTTGTATAATTTAAGTATGTAATTTTCTGAAAATCACCAAATGAAAATGGGCTTTTTTAATTTTTAAACATTTTTGACCTGATTCAGTTTGACATGTCCATGCCGAAATCTACACATGGAATAGCATTGCCTTCGACTTTGCGTTTTTGAAATCTGACACCCTATGAAAAAAGCTGGAAAAAAGTATGTTTAAACAAAAAAGCTCATTCTCATTTGATGATTTTCAGAAAATTAGGTACTTAAATTATCCAAAAACATCAAAATAAAAATAGGTTTCATTTATTATGCATGAAATATTTAAAAGTTAAAAAGTTTCCGCGCTTGTAAAACTGCAACAACAAACTACATCGCTTCACATGGCATTGTGTAGACTTGGCATGCAGATGTAAAAAATAAGCCAAAAAAATGT